TGTTTTATATCCTATTATATTGTCTATCTGGGAGAATGTTCCACTGTTACTTGAAAAAATGTATCTTCTGCAATCACTGGGGAAGCATTCTCTATTTTTCAGTTTAGGTTCAATTAACTGATAGTGTTCAAGTATTCTGTATCTTTGATGATATTCTGTCTAGTTGTTTATCAGTTTATGAGAGTAGAGTATTAAAGTTTCTAAACATTATTGTTGAATTACCTATTTTTTTTCTTTTAATCCTATTTGGGGCTTATTGATATTCTTGAATGTAAAGATCGTCTCCTCATCAAATTTGACACCATTGAGGTCATTACTTCTTCAAATAATTTTTTTATTTTCCTGTCTGGTCTATTTCTGATATTTCTATTATATTCCTATTTGTATTGTCAGGCTTGTTGTTATCTCAAGGACTCAATGACTGTTCATTTTTCATCAATTTTTTTCTCTGTACTTCCACTGTTAATTTTGATTGATCTTTCTACAGGTCTAAAAGCTGCTTTTGAACTCTCTACTGAATATTTTATTTGAGTTACTTTTTAGTTCTAGAATTTCCAGTTCTATCTATGTATGTACTACTTTAGCAGAAACCCATAAGTCTTAAATTGTTATTAGAACTATTGTTCTAATCCAAATATATATTTTTTCACTGAAAATCTCGATTTGTTCATTCATTTTTATTATATTTTTTAAAGAAATCTTAAAATTTGGATTTATTTAGTATTTGAACACTTTAAGTAGCTGCTTCAAGTCTGTCGAATCTAACACCTGGAGACAGTTTCCATTCACTTTTTTCTCCTGAAAAAGTGGGTCATACATCCCCATTACTTTTCATAGCTCATACTTTTGGTTGAAAACTAGACATTTTGGATAATATATTGCAATGATTCAGAATTAAGATTTTACTGTAAAATGTTCCTGTTTTGTTTTTGTTTGTATCTTTGGGCCAAATCTCTGATTTCTTCCTGTTCCATAATATGCTGCTGTTGATGTGTCTGCTAAAAAATATTCTTAGTTTATTTTTAAGCATGGATTTCTAGGTTTTTCCCCCCTGTATCTGTATGACTTGTGGCAGACCAATGATTAGACACAGTTTGTGCTCAAATTCCTCAAGCCAGTGAGGCCTCTACCCTGTGCAGATGGACCCAGTGTGCACTGGGGAGGGCATTCAAAGATCAGGCCATTTTTGCATCTACTGCAGCATTTGTTTTACACTGGGTTTTTTCATGTGTGTGTTTTCTAAGGGCTTGTGCACAGCCTTATAGTCAACCACAACTATGTGAATTGCTCTGCTGCCAATGTGTGAGAACTCAGCCAGAAATATATTTGCCCCAACCATGCTACAACCTCGGGCCACCCCCCTTACTCTTGGTGAAGGTCAAGACTTATACCGAAAACATCTCTGAGTATTATTGTAGCCTACTACCCAAAATTAGGTAAGCTACTTTCAACAATCGCAGTGCTGACCCCCACATCCTGCCCTGCTTCGGTAGATTCTCCGCAACAAGGAAGCAACAGAGGTAAAATGTAGTCCTTAAGCAAGAGCACTGCAGACTCCCACTGTTCTAATCCAAAGGTTAGCAGTTTTTCAAGCATAAACGCTTGTCAGATGGACACAGGCTGCTGCTCTTCAGTTTCCAGAGTGGTAATAATGATTGTTTTGTTCAATTTGTTTAGATTTATAGTTGCCTTTTGGAGAAAAGATTTGCTGACCTCTTTATTCAGCCATAACCAGAAATGTGACCACTCAGGGTAATTGTCTGTTGATTCCTAAACCACATTAGAATACTTAAAAAGAGAGAAGTATAGACTCATTTTACTTGTAAAAATAATTTCAAATTCCTAAATAAAATATTAACTTTCTAAATTCAATATTATATTTAAAATACATTATGATCAAGTATGATTTACCCTAAGAAAGAATAATAGTTTATCATTAGCAAATTTATTAAGAAATTTAATTCATTAGACTGAAAGAAAAAGTCAGAAAATTATTTCAATAGTTGAAGAGACTGAATTTGATAATGACCAAAACATATTCATAAGATTAAGGAAAGAAGGGAACTTCCTAAATGTGCCACAGTTTGTGGAAAAAGCACCTATAGTCAATATTATACTTAATGGAGAAACTTTAGATGTATTCCCTTAAAATAGGGGAGAGAGGGTAGTTTGATGTTCATTATTATCACTACTGTTTAATAACTGAACTCTTAAATCCTAGCCAATAATATAAGGAAAGAAAAAGAAATAAATGAGTGGTAAGATTGAAAGGAAAGTTATAAAATGTCTATTATCTGCTATTATATGCAGATAATGTAAGCAACTACCAAGAAATAATAGAATTAATAAATAAGTTATAAGAATTAACAGAAGTTATCATAAAGTTGTTCAATATAAGATCAATCTATAGAAATCAATAGAATTTGTTTATACCAACAATAACCAGATAGAAATACCATAAACAACAAAATACCAATCAAAATAGCAATACATTTACAAATTTTCTAGGTATTAGCAAAAATTATAAAAATTCCTGCAAAGAATACTTTTAAATCTTAAAAAATACACAGAAAGTATAGAAATTAAAGAGAAAATATTGTGTGCTTTTGATTTGAGCAAGATAATATTCTAAAAATTGAATTTTACTCCAACTAACTTATAAATTCTTTGTATCCTAATCACATTGGTTCCTATACTCAATAGGGGCTTTCATAAATTCAGTAATATTTTTATTTCTAATAATTATGTGAAAAAACAACCTACACATAGGTAAATCACATGTGAAAAAAGTGAACTAAGACAGAAAACTTGCCTTATTAGTTATTAAAGCAATAAACTAATCTGAGCAGAACTGAGAACTCAAAAACACAAACACACACATATGAGCTTAATATCCTATAAACTTGCCAACCTAAATCAATGAGAAACACTGAATCAATCAATCAATCAACTAAAAACAAGTTTAGGATGGACTGAATACATTAGAAATTATGAAGAATTTGACTAGGATGATAGAAACAAAAATGGTGAAATGGAATCAAATTTGGATAAAATATTTTAGAGATTGCCAACAAGACTTATTTATGGATTGGATATTAGAGTTGGGAGGTGAAAGACTGGCAGCCTAGTGAATAAGAAATTGATGGTGCAAGAGAGAGAGAATGTCTGTAGGAGGAAAATGCTTGAACAGGTAGAGTACCTTATTCTGAGAGGGAGTATCAAGGCTAATTTTTGATGGGAGGAATCTGATCAGAAAAAGTGGGTAGATTTTTCTCTTTTACAGTGGAGAGAGAAATAACAAAAACAAACACAGTATAATTGCATGAATCCATTCAAACACTGAAAATAAAATCTAGACAGATGGCCAAACATTAATTGTCTTAATTTATAAGTAAGTAGTTTCCTAGAGAGCAAAACATGTAATCTTAAGAACTTTACTAGAAGTAAAAATTCTAACTCAGGCATAAAACGTTAACATTCTTAAAATTCTGTAATTTTATTTCTCAATAATTCTATTTGATGAAAATTCAGTAAATGTGTGTCTACAAATGAAAACATCTGACTTGTAATATTTTTTAAATAGTAGGTTTGTTAAGATTGGGATGTGTGTGTGTCATTTTTTGTCATTGCTTGTATTTTGCATTTTTAAACACCACTGATGTACCAGTTTTTCATAAAGGAAAAAGAGGAGAAGGAAGAGAATAAATCTTACAGAATGAGTCACTCTCTAAATGTGACAAAGGTAGATTTGATTGTTACGAGTAAGATGTTCTGACCCCCGGTAATTTTTTAGAATACAGAAGCAGGTCCTTTTTGCTCAGAAAAAGGATTTCAAATTGACTGAGTGGTGATTGTGTTATTGTTTTAAAAGTGAGACTGGCTGAGCCCAGCAAAGAATTTGACTAGACTTTCTGCGGAGGCTGAGGTTCTCAGACATTCTTAAGTAACACTGACAAGGAAGATGGTAGCTTAGTTAGAGTAGGGATGTTAAAGTAATTTGGGTGTGTCTGCCATGACTGATCATTTCCATTACTTGTTACACACAAAAGGAAGAAGAGGAAGAAGAGGAAGAAGATATTGGAGAAGAAGCTAAATAGAAGACCTGGAGTGGTATGAGTAGTTGTCAGGATACCTGGCAATAAGCCCCACTTGTCAATAATTTATTGTGAGACATTTGAGGTTAGAAATTTTCTTCAATCTGGATGTAGAATTTTTATTCTTTTGTTTGAATAAAATATTTTGTATACATTAAAAAATATAAAGTGAAATGGTTGTATGTTAGGTTGTATTTGTGCAGCTTCTTTCATTTTATATCATTTTTTATTTTTTAAAAAGTTTTGTTTTGTTTTTTACCACTGAACATTTTATTTTCTCAAACAAATATTGGCCTACATCCCAACCTGGAAATTAGATAAAGACAAACAACTCGAGTTAAATTAGAACTCTTCAGGTATTGGAAAAGATAGGCAATAGGAAGTAAAAGAAGAAAAGTAAAGGAAATAAAATGAATCAAATGCCTGCTAGCACATGTTAAACACTGTAGCTGGCTTTTTAAATTTGGTTTCTCATTTGGTCCCACATTCCATTTCAAAGATGAAATAAATGAGACTGAGAAAGACATAAATGGTACAAGTGACAACAACAATAAATAAGAGCTCTGAGATTTGAATTGAGTTGTACAGTCCCATGAAGGCTCTTGTTGGAGCTAATACAGAACAGGAGGAATGAGAAGGGACTATGGAAGGCAGGCGTCACACTGACTTACTCCTCCTTTCAGTATCTGTCAGGTGCCCAAAATGTTTGCAGAGTTGGGTCATGGGTTGGGCCTACGGACTAGCTGTACTGGATATAGGGCCCATCCATGGACTAAACCATGTTCCCTCCTTTCTCAGTTGGCTTTACAACAGGTATGCTAGTAAGTAGGAAATAAATAATTCTACATAGAGTAAAACATAATCTTGAAAGCAAATATGGTAAATTGACTCCAAATAGTCTCTTACCTTTGCGGGGGCAGTGGCTCCAGTGGCTCTTGCTAAATGCGTGGCCCTTTTCTGGGTTTTGGCTTCTTTTTCCCTGGAAGAGAGCAAGAAATAGCATAGCTTAGACATACCTGCCCAACTTTTAAGGATAACAGCATACATGGTGAACTTAATTCTGACTGTTCTCCTCAACCCAGTCTGGCAGATCCAGAAATGAGCAGAGGTACCATAAATCTCTGCTCAGTACTGAAAAGTATCTCAAACGTGGTTCTATTGGCAGCAAGAATCTATGCGTTTAACTGCACAGCAGATTATTCCCCCCTTAAATACTTCCAACATCCAGGTGGTTACCAACTTTAAAGCCGTCTGTACCATTGTTGGAATGCTCTCTTTGAAAAACCGTATTATTGACTGATTACTATTCCACTGTGTAACTGTACCACAGCTTTTTAAAAAATATATATTTTATTGATTTTTTTACAGAGAGGAAGAGAGAGGGAGAGAGAGAGAGAGAGTTAGAAACATCGATGAGAGAGAAACATCGATCAGCTGCCTCCTGCACACTCCCTACTGCCCTTGACTGGAATCGAACCTGAGACCCTTCAGTCAGCAGGCTGATGCTCTATCCACTGAGCCAAACCGGCCAGGGCAAGTACCACAGCTTTTTTATCCACTCATCTACTGATGGGCACTTGGGATGCTTCCAAATCTTGACTATTGTTAATACCGCTGCAGTGAACATAAGGGTGATTATTCTTTTAAATTAGTAGGAAATCCTACCTGTTGCAACAGCATGGATGGACCTGAAGAGTATTATGCTAAGTGAAATAAGCTGGTTGAAGAAAGACAAATACCAGATAATTTCACTTACATGTGGAATCTAATGACCAAAGTAAACTAACAAATAGAAACAGACTCATAGGTGTTAGAGGGGAAGGGTAGGGGAGAACTGGGTAAAAAAGGTAAATGGATTGAGGAAAAAAAACTTTATAGACAGACAACAGTGTGGTCATTATCAGAGGAAAATGGAGGTGGGGGGAGGTAGAAGAGTTATGGTAAAGGGGGGATAAATGGTGATGGAAGAAGATTTGACTTAGGTGGTGAATATAAAATACAATATACACAGGATGTATTATAAAAGTGTATACCTTAAACTTATATAATTTTATTAACCAATATCACCCCAATAAATTCAATTTTTAAAAAAAGGAAAAGAAAAAGAAAGACCATATTCTTAATGTGTAAAAATCTGCCTTCCTGTTTTGGACCCAGTTCCAACCTCTGAGGACCCACAGGACAACTTTAGAAATTTGAAGATAGTGTTTATGCCTCATACAGTCTCCTTCTTTCCAGGTTAAAAAAAAATTTATTCCAACTTATTTATATAGGTAATAAATATAATAATGGAGTGAGTGGCTTCAAAGTGACAAACTGCCTTATGTGTCTTAAGGCATTTTATATTTGTTTTAAATTAGTTTTCAGTAAACTTATTATTTCGTAGTATCGGTCTACTATCAAAACATCTAATGAAACAAGAACGAAACTTTATGGTAAATAATAGACTTGCTGGTTTACATTCAGCTTCCAAGAGAATAAGGAAGGATTCTTCAACCTTCCCTGGGCCTCACCCCACTCTACATCTTGCCCTGCCTTCCCTCATCTTCCCACAGTCTCTTCTTTAGACTTCATTATGTGAAGTGACCAGAACTTCATTATGTCAATATTATTGACTATGTCAAATTAAATCCCTTGACACATACCAGGCTGGCATTTAAAAAGCTAATTATCTTAAACAGGTAAGCTTAGTTATTGGCTTGATACCAGTGTTGAAGTTTGGATGTTGGTCAGAAATTGAGAATGACCTCCCTGTTCAAAAACAAATGAGGACACTTTGATTTGAGGTTTTGCAATTGATAGCTCAAGCCATCTTCTACTTCTGAGGTGTCACTGGAGAGAAGGAAGTCAAGTTAAGAAGCATTGCGTAGATGTTGGTTAACTTCCTGGATACTAATTCTTTCTGAATTGCAGGTAATTGCAAGATATAATTAACTTTTTAATCCATCTCATTTTAGCATAATCCCAAATGTCTGAAGACACTGGCAGGTCACAGAGTCAGGGTGTATCCTGCTTAAATTCTTCTCCTGGTTGGCTGCCACAAGAAAAGTTTGACATCATTCCCAAGGGGCTTTTCTCCATCCCTAAGGTACAATAGGATCAGGTCTTAACAGGCCCACGGAATCTGACTTTCTTTCTTAAATTAATTTTTCAGAGCCAGGAAACTCAAATTGGAATTACATCCTCAAAAGATTATTAAATTTTACATAAGGTATTCATGCTGGGCCCTCTGGGTGTTTTGGAATACCATGTGTGTGATGATTCAGCCTTTCCAGGTGGGTGGCATTTACCCAACTTTATCTGATGAGAGATGCCAGAGTGATCTACAAACTATTTTTATTTAACCATTTAGATTTAGAAAGACATATTTGCCAAGAAATAAAAAGAATATGCCCTGACCGGTTTGGAAAAAAAAATATATTTACTAGTTCAGAGATCAGCCGGTATCTCAAACACCTGGAAGAGAACCTTTACTCACAGTATCATTTTGCATGTGGCGCATTTGTTGAGGAACATTATTCCATCAGGGCTCTGAAGAAGTTTTTTATCCTGGGAACAGAACAGCTTCCCATTTTTCATCAATACCCGAAATTCACTGCACGCATCCTAAGGGAAAGATGAAAAAAGTTGTGTTTACTGAAACCTTATCAAAGCAAGACCTTCTAAGAAAAACTTCCTTGAACGATATTACTTAATAGCCACCACCCCTTTTATATAGAAGACGCTCACTCAGTTGTTATAAATAATACAAACAAAAACAGTGACTCTGTATATTGTATAATGTCTATTGGAGATGCAAATTCACCTAATAAGCATTCATCTAAAACAATTAGTGGAATGGAAAGAACAAGAAACTGGGAATCAAAAAACTTTATATTTCATGGTTCTCATTTACAAGTCCAGTAGACTTAGCAAATTAAATTTCTCAAAGGCTTACTTACCCTATCAATAAAAATCAGGGATTATAAATATATACATTTCACAGGTCTTCTGAGGATGAAACATAACATGTAAAAGCCCTCAAAGAATGTCTGATGCTTATAGATATTTAATGTTGAATTTCTTTCCTTCCTTTTTCTCCTCCTTTATTATTATTGTTTTGTTTTTGTTGCTGTTGTGCTGTTGTCATTATTCTTGGAAAATATGCTGATGGCACATATAAAACATCTAGCACACAGTGGGTCATCATGTGCTGTAAGAAGGGCTCTGAAAAGTTGCTGGAGGACTGGGACACAGTGTGTGAATTAGACACTGTAAAGAGCCTCTGCCGTGTCAGCAAAGGATGTACCCAAGACACCAACTCCCGGAAGTGTTAACAGTTGTTCAATTAAAAAGTGGAAAACAAGTTAAAAGTTGAATGAAAGGACTCCTTGGTCATATATGTTTGGAAAACATATTTATAGACTAGCTCCTCTTCTGAAATGAAATTAACCTCAGATCCAACTAACTGATTTACTAGTAAAAGCTAACAAAGCTGCAGTTTCCAGGCCCTTCACTATCACATCTTTGGGGAGGCTTAGTTGTTCTATATTTATTAGTTAGTTAGTTAGTTAGTTTATTTATATTTTTTGTATATTCTCTGGAACTACTATTTTACTATTCTGTGTGATATCCTTCAAGACATGGAGTGCTATGCTTGGTTTTGGCTTTCTTTTTGTTAAATGCAGATGGCAGCACTTTACCAACTTTAGGGAGGAGAGGGGAAATCATTCTGAATAATATTTTACCAGGTACTGCAAATGTACCATTAATTTTAAGCTCCTAAAAAGACTGAGTGACATACAGTTCTCCAATAAAATACATTGAATTAAGAAATGCATGAAAAGAAAGAACCCTCACTTTTAAAGATCTGTCCACTGTCCTTATTTCCACCTATTCTATTATTTAAAATGCTTTCTATTCCCTATTAGTTTTGCAAATCCACTGGCTCTTTAGAGCAAGTCTTTAAAATCTAAGTTTTTCCTTTGCAAGAGAAATAAAATCTTGCTTTGAGATGCTTGCATCAGAAAAAAAATTAAATCGAGTCTTTGCTCCAACTCCAACAATACAACCTCTTCCAAAGGATTAATTATGGAATTCTTTTCAGCTTCCTATATCTTTACAATAATTATTCAATCAATCAATAAAACACTTATGAAATTGCTTTGCCTGGTACCATAGATATAATGGTATATAGAGAAATCCTTGTTTACATGTTGGTTACCACCTAGTGGGTAATGATGTATTTAACCTAGCCTCTTAAACATAGAGGCAGTTGAAAAATGATTAATGGTGAAAAAAAATGGTAACTAAATAATGTAAGAGACCAGCCCTGTGAAATTTTGCGAAGGACAACCTACTGAAATATCTCTAAATTTATGGTCACTACCCAGTGATCTTATCTGAGTAGCACAGTAATAATTTCTGACAACAGACTGACATGTGGGCCTCTGAGATCTGTGTCTGGTCTTTAATTTTATAGTATCTTATGCCAGCATTGCAAGTTACTGCTTAGCATGCCAGATATAAATGATTCTATAAAATCTAAGCAGAAACTTTGTCATAGAATCAGAGAAGACCCTGGTGTCTTTGTAATAGAAATACATCCCTTATAGTCTTGGCCGGGTAACTTAGAGCATCGCCCCAATACACCAAGGTTTGAATTTGATTCCCCATCAGGGCACATACAAAAAGCAACCAATGACTGCACAAATAAGTGGAACAGCTAATAAATGCTTCGCTCTCTCTTCCAAAAAGATCAATCAATCAATAATAATAAAAAAAGAAATACATCCCTTGTGAGGTAGGTCTTAAAGTATTTAAAACAAGATTCAATGATAACACTGGAATAAAGCTTTAAGTAGTTTTTAGCAATCAATTGAACAAGAACATTGTCAATCAGGACATTCCTGAATCAGACTTCTCTCATGTCAAAATTAGATGAGCCCCTCATTCCTACAAAGACCCACTCTTTTTTTCCTTTTTTTGTCAAATGAACAACTCAGGCCTAGAAAATAGGTTAAAAAACTTGTTCACAATGTTTAACTAGTTGAGATTCAACACTATCTTTATGAAACAGAAAAAGGCTGTAAAAATTGAAAGCAGTGGTGGGTTTTTCTTTGGGGAAAATATAATATATTCCCAATTACCATAATAAAGAGGGTTTTGAAATAGGAGCCAATCTGGACCAAAAAGGCATGGGGAGGTGGGGGGGGGGGGGGGGGGGGGTGTGAAATCCCAGCAACTGTTTACTTGCAGGCTTTGGCTCGCATTGTTTGGTTATTGTTGCTCTTGTTTGTGTTTTCCCCAAAGTCCAGGAAAACTGGAGCCCTCAAGGGCCAAGCTCTTTCTGTTTCTGTCAGTGGCTGCTTTACAGCCCATTGTCTTCCATTGTCCCTCCCCAGACATCATAATAAAATGTCCCAGGGAGTTGGTATTATTCCTTGTCTGTGTTAGAGCATGAACAAGGTTGCTTTGGCTTTCTAATGACCCTCTGTGATGACAAATATAAGCACATGGTAGAGATCCTTGCAGTTACTACAGGACTTTTCCATGCTGCTCTGGCTCATGTTTATAACTTTCAACAAGTTACTGACGGAGCTTGAAAAATAAAATTCCCAGCACCGCAAGAAAGACTAAATCAATAGTTTTCATTTCTGACAAAATATCCAAGGACTGTGGTCAGAAACATTTCCAGAGAAATAATTACTTCTTGGTGTTTTTCTTGCTTATTCCAACATGAGAGGTGGCTAACTTTAGGTTTTTGATGTTTTAGTGAAATAGAGTTTAAAGCCATAAACTGTGTAACTGTACCAAAGCCATAAAAAGTATCGGTGCAGAATTGGATCTATCCACTGGAAATCACCGCCCATTGTCATAAACTCTAAAAATAACTTATGGCTTCCTGAAAAATGAAGTTTGCACAATATCCTTCTTTTTACCACTATGCAACATCCCAGTGAGCAAGCTTTTTAATTTCCCCAAATACAGCCTTTTCCTTTTCTACTCTACCATACCACTCTATTTAAACTATAGAGGATTCTCCACTTCTCCTTAATCAGCAAACAGATGAAATAATAGAGATTATGATGAAATTCTCTAGAACATTCCAGGAAAAAATTTCTTTTGAAAAATTGTTATAATAAAATATAGCAAGAGAGTATTTTACCATGGTTCTAATAGTTTCATTGTAGAAAGGGTTTTTTTTTTTTTAACTGTTTTAGTATCTTAATATTTATGACTTTTGGGAGATGTAGCAAATATTTGCTATATACATAGCACTGTTTTAAGTGCTGAATTAATGGCATAGTTGTGTGTGGGTGTGTGTGTGTGTGTGTGTGTGTGTGTGTGCATGTAACTGGCCCTTTTAAATTTTTTTCCAGATATATAAAATGATTAACTTCTATAGAAAACAATTCTTTTAGCTCTCAAACAAAAGGCCTCTAAGAAAGAGGCGGTAAAGAGGGCCTTTGCCATCACGAATGCTTCTGGCTGGTCTGCTTTAAATTGAAAAAACATCTTCATGACCTTCCCCACCACCTTTAGACCCCTGTTAGCTTCAGGGAGAACTTACCTGACTATCCCAAGAAGAACTAATACCACCTCCATCCCCAGAAATTCATTATCTTCCATCCTCCTGTATTTTTCTCCTAAGACTACTCTTTATTAATGTACTATATGTTTTTTACTAATTTACTAATTGATTTGTCTGTTTTCCTCCACTGAGATGTAAGCTCCATGACAGAATGGTTCTTGTCTTTCTCCTTTACTTTTTAATATCTCCAGCATCTCAAACAAGATCTGATTCATAATACATGCTCAATAAATATTTATTGAATGAAGTATGTACACTGACATTATATAAGATATAGCCAACCCCCTTTTAACATAATAATCACAAGAAAACTAATTTCTGCTTCCTGTGTGTGTTTTAGCTGTTAAACAGAACAATACTAATTCACTGGTGTGTTTGTGGAATCTTTTTTTTAAATATATTTTATTGATTTTTTACAGAGAGGAAGGAAGAGAGACAGTGAGCCAGAAACATCGATGAGAGAGAAACATCGATCAGCTGCCTCCCGCACATCTCCCATTGGGGATGTGCCCGCAACCCAGGCACATGCCCTTGACCGGAATCGAACCTGGGGCCCTTCAGTCCGCAGGCCAATGCTCCATCCACTGAGCCAAACCGGCTCCGGCTGTTTGTGGAATTTTAAAGCACTCCTATAGCATGGTAGATCCCCTCTTGCTCACACCCATTATTATTAATACAGTGATATGTGTGTGTCTGAGATTCATGCCTTAATTCATTTAGACCTGTTTCTGTGTTTTTAGCAAAAGCTATTAGCCCCTATCAGTATAATGAGTCTGCATTATTAACATCAAGGTGTTGGCCAGGAAACATTTTTCTTTAGAGATCTTGGAATGAATTCAATGAACAGAAAAAGCAGGACTAACCTGATTTTCATTCATACTGGCAGCATCTGGAACACAAAAACACACAAAAAACAAAGTTAAAGGGATCTAAAATATTTAATAAGTAAAAGAAAAAATTTGATTAGTGCAGTTCCTTATTCACTTTACTGGAAATATGTTAGAAAACCACAAATTATTTTTGAACACATTGAAATGAAATGAGGGAATGGCCACAGGAAATCAGTGTATACACTCAGAAAGGTCCAATTACTTTAGAAAATAATAATTATATGTTTCCTGACCCCCTCAAAATATCTAATTTCTAAAATCCTTTCATTAGTAGAGTATTTCAGACCTCTTTTAAAATGATAACCTAAATATCAATTATATTATAACAACTACAATTTGAAAGTATAATGTAGCAGAAAGTTTAGATCATATATACACATAAAATTTAATTTTCTGAATTCTGGTTACATTGCATCCTTATGACAGCTACAAAAATTAGAGATATGATAAAAATTAAGTTTAATTAAAATCACAGACTATATTATACTCCATCAATATGAGACACCTTTTTGCACCAACACATTTATCCTAGAAAAGTGAGCATCATTTGTGCATAATGTTTCAAACTCCATCTAGGGTTTCCTTTTAAACCATGTAAATGCTTCACAGCAAGATCGCTCTAAGCAATCTGTATTCCCTCCAAGTTCAAGTAGCAAATGCAGAAACCTACCTCTGAGCTCCCACAAAAGTCCCTTCCCCTTTATAAGAAGTGCCTTTAATCCATTTAGCACAAATAAAATATGCTAGAGGGTACTACTGCTTTAAAATAAGAATAGATGATTGAATTTAAATTGTTAATATTTTTATAAATATGCTATTAAATATATATACCTATATATAAAACATACATTGAAGTTTTAAATATATATTATATACATAATTCCTATAAGTATGAATTGATATGCTTGCTAAGAGGGTCATATCAAGAAGAATCCACTAGCTTTTTAGTACTAATGTAGAATTGCTGGAATGATTTCTCATGGATAAAATTCAGAATATCTCAAACTCCTTGCCATTTCTAAAGATAACAACATCGTTATAAAGCCACATATATAATTCTTTAAAGCTCTGTGTCTAGCAAGATATTTTAGGATTACATACATTTATGTAATCTTGAATACTAAGTATGGGCAGGGGGAGGGAGACCAGTCTCTCCCCAGGGCTTTGTGGTTTGTGGCAAGAGGCTTAGATTACATGCAAATTGCTTACCTTGTATGAGGCAAAGAGCCAGGCTCAGAAGTACTGGCACCGTGGTTATCTTCATGATGAAGATGATGTAAGCTGGTTATAATTCTGCTCCGTGCATTGCTCACCAGCTTGTGCTCGAGGACTGAACCCATTGCGATGCAGCTTACTTTATATATACCTGATGACACACACCCACCCACAACAGCCAATGTTACAAAACCAGTTGTTCAAGGTCGTGCTAGACTTAAGATACCACATCAATTTAGCTTCTTCCATCCTTTAGGATCCTGTCAAGGGGGCAGATTTGAACAGATAATGTCTGCTTCCAAAGTAATTCTAAAAGAAGACAGATCGGTTGCACTACCAGTCACGTAAACACTGAAAGATTTCACCACATCTGGAGAAAGCTGCTTTATAGTAAGAGAAGCAAGGATTCTTGTTGCTTCCATCCACAGATGTCTCCATTCAGTGTCACATACTCGTATATAAGTTAGAGTTGAATGATCCTAAAAGATAACCCTGAAAAGTTCTAGCATTGAATACATGGGGAAACGGAAACTCAGAGGAGGAAAAATGACTTTTCCAAGGACATACACTTTAGGTGGAAGAGGGCAAAGGTGGGACTTAAAAGACCACAAACACCCTGGCCAGGTGGCTCGTTTAGTTGACGCATCATACCTAGGTTGGGGGTCAATCCCTGGTCAAAGAGCATATGGGAGGCAACGGATTGATGTTTCTCTTCCTCTCTCCCCTTTTTTCTCCACCTCCCTTCCCCTCTCTCTAAAATAAATAAAAACATATCCTCAGGTGAGAATTAAAAGGAAAAGAAAGTAAAAGAAAGAAGAACACAAGTTCAGTATTTTCTCAACGAACACAAGTTCAGTATTTTCTCAACGCCATACACTGCTTCACCATCACAGACTGTAAAGGCAGAAACTTTGTGGAATCAAAGCTGGCACATAACTACTTCTTAAAATCCTCAATCTGAAGGATTAATTTATGTTCTAATGCTTAATTTTAGAGTTAATCACACATCATTATCAGGAACATTAGAGACTCCAGGTTTAACTTTCCACACAGCCCATTACTCCCCAAGTTCCAAAGGTTGGGTTCCAGTGCCCCACAGGGTCCCACACCTATTGAAGGGAGTTTTTAACTTTATCAGATCAGAACCCTTTTAAAGATTGTTTCAGAAAAGCTAATCTAAAGCTAGGGGACTTTGGAATCACATCAATATTCTGAATAACATCAAAGCTAAAGTATTTCCCTTTTCTATGAAATAATTCATTCCCTATGAAAATATAATCATTAGTTTCCAGGTCAGCACTATTAGCTTTGCTTATTTGCAATTGCTTAGTAAAATTAGTGACCTAAAAAGCAAGTTCAAATTGCGTTACTGTTACAGGAAAGAAAATTGATGCGATTTTCAATCGGTGTGCAGCCAAGAATTTTTAAAACATGCAATACATGACTATTTATTTAGTCAGGGGCACGGACCTCTTTCCCCTTAAATTGTAAAATAATAAAATGACAACAGCCAATATAATGATAACTGTCTAGTGAGAATGAATCAAAATTATGCTTATTTGTTAGCCAGATAGGCAAATATATAATATTTTTTGGTATGCCGCAAAATTTCAGTAATTAGTTTATGTGTGCCATGAGATGAAAAGGGTTAAAAATTGCTGACCTAATAGAAAGCTAATGGGACAGGGAGTCAGGAAATTTATTTCTATTCCTGCTTTGCAACAACATAGAAAAATGGAAATGTAACTTACTTTGGCATATGATAGATCTGGGTCCAACTCTTGACTAGTTACATTGCCTTGGGCAAGTTGCTTATTTTTTTCTCAGCCTCAGTTTTTTAATATGTAAAATGGGAATAATAAAAAAACATTGTAATTTTACAACAATTCTATATTGTTGTAAGAGGTAGAGGTAATTCATGTGTATGTGTGAGTTTGTCATGCTTAGACTAAGTATATGTGATAAGCTATGTAGTTAAAGATAGCTGGTCTTGCATTTTATGTCATTATAATGATATGTTTGTACTAGGTAATTTCTGAGATTCTAAGAAAAGTCAACATCTCTTGAACATGGACCTTTAACAACAGATTAAGGTTTACGCATCATAGAATAACATCCCCAGCACATTCTGATATGAATTTGAAAGTCAACATAGCCCTGACCGGTGTGGCTCAGTGGATAGAGCATTGGCCTGTGGACTCAAGGGTTCCAGGTTCGATTCCGGTCAAGGGATGTTTCTGTCTCTCTATTCCTCCCCCTCCCTCTCTGTAAAAAATCAATAAAATATATTTTAAAAAAATAACAAGAGTAGAATGATAGGCACATACTTCTTTTAAAAGTCAACATGTAAGTTCTTTTTCATTTTGCTATGTTCTAAACCACACTACCAAAACTAAATCAAAGCATTAGCCATTTAAAACCTGCACAAGTCATTTCTAGATTTTAAGCATCCTTGATTCCCTATCACCAGTTATAAAAGTCTCTTCTAAATATTGACATACTAATGCTAACTTTTCATCTTTCATCTGCTGTGTCTGACTATATGAAATGTGTCCCAACCACTCACACTTATTATCAGTGGTAAGAAAGTATAATGCCTTACAAAATAATTGGTGACTGTGTAATATGTTCTGGTGAACCCCAAATCAAACCCAAATGGATATTCCCAGGAGTGGAGGTGGTACTAGGGTGGAACAAAAGAACCAAAATATGATTGCATGTCTAAAGAATCTCTGCTATGAGGAAAGGCTGAAGGAGTTGGTTTCCTTCTTACGGGGAAAGAGCTTCTCACTGACACCCAGAACCTTGTGAAATGATGAATAAGAGGAACTGATAACTTCTTCCAGCAGGAGAAGGTAGTCAAGAGAAGATTCAGCGAGCACTCCCAGCTTTGGACGTACGTATCAGCTGGCGCATGGCATCAGGGCTTTTCCTCCATTTCATTTCAGGAATGTTGTAAATCCAGATGTGATTCACACTCTGTTAGTTACTCCTTATTTCGGGAAAGCCAAGACATTTAAATTCAAATGAATGGGACGGAGGCTTTTGAGATGAGGGTTTGGGTTACCAGTATACTTTTATATTAGGTGATCAGAGTACTTTTTCTTAAATTCTAAATTCCATATTTTCTTTTCAGCTCTTTTCATTATTCATCAAACATGTAAAATCCCATTTCATCTCATTAAAAAGAAATAGAGCTGTAATAAAAAATATATAGATTTTATGATTCAACATATGTATTGAGTGACCTAGAATCTGTATTCACATCAAGGATATTGATATAGAAGGAACAGATGAGAAAAGTATGAAGCAAACAAGATTTTGCAGACCAATAATCTTATTGAAGACAAAGGTTATTTCCAAAAATTCAAAGTTATCAGATCATTGCTCAAATCTTCTCTTTTCCTATATAGAGATATCCTTGCTAATCATGATAGTTCAATATATAATTATAATCCCTTACCATCAAACCACCTTCCACACCTTTTCAAACTATCTGCTATTCATTAGTTCTCTTGATTTGGTTACACAATGCTGTGTGGTAGCAGAATAGGTGTTATTATCCATTCCTTCCTGGCCCAAAATGATACGATTAACAAAACCCCAAGTAGGAACTAGGTTGGATGGTAATCCCAGCTTGTCACTTTCTCACCTTTTACACCCTATGTGGTTATCTCAAAGCCTTTCTGGCAATTCAAAGAGAACCCAGACATGATGGAGCTATAAATTACATACAGCATTCTATTGCTAATGTAGCTCTTTCCTAAAATCCTCTGCTCTCACACATTCACACACACACACACACACACACACACGCACGCGCACCAACATACGTTCATAATGATTTGGTGGGGAAAGGTATGTTGTGACCATGGCTGAAAAGTATGTGTCCCAGCAGACCTTAGAGGATGAAGCAATTTCTTTTATAGTTTCTTAATTTTTAATTGTCTTTCCTATCAGTCTTGTGTTTTCCCTATTAACATGTCTCTCCTATACTCTCCTTTATGAAAGACACTAATTGGAAAACAGCCTTTACACACTTTATTACCTTGAAATCTTCAACAGCTAACTTCACTCCCTCTGAGAATTTCCTTCTGTTTGTCTAGAAAGGCTAAGAAATTATAGAGATAAGCATCTCATTTTATCTAAGAACAGATGGGATGGGCACCGTTTGATCACTGAGTATACAGACCCTGCTATTTATAGATATAATTGTTGCTTTTATTAGATTAGGATTAAGAAAACACAGAAGTTTTAACGTCTAATTTTTAACTATATTAAGTTTTGTGTATTGGACTAGAGGCCAGGTGCACGAAAATTCATGCACTGGAGGGGTGGGATTCCTCAGCCCGGCCTGCCCCCTCTTACAGTCTGGGAGCCCTCAGGGGATGTCCTACTGGCAGCTTAGCCCAACTCTGTGGGAGGCAACTGGGGTGATCAGGGGAAGGCACCACCCCCATCACCCTGCTACTGCTGGCCACTGCGGCTGCCTGCCCTCGGCCCTCACAGCCACCGCAGCTTTGTCCAGAAGAACATTCAGCTGTCCAGTTTAATTAGCATATTATGCTTTTATTATTATAGATTATATTTGGTTCTTAAATATAATGTCCAGCTTCTCCCTAAAGTTCATGCCACTTGAACCCCTGCTCTATGGCACCATCACCTGAAAATTAAGTACATTATAAAGTTTCCTAGGATTAATCTTGACTATAGAAAACAGAGGTTTACAAAGCTACAGTCTTTTTTAAAAAATCACAGTTTCATTCTTAGCTAGTATACTGAATTTTGACAAAAAAAGTACTGTATATTTTATACGTAAAATATTTATGTATATATACAATAAGCAAGACCAACATTGTTAGATTTATAAGCAAAATTAGAAAAAAGTAATCCATATATCTTTATAAAACTTTTGCATAGAAATATGAAATGTGTTAGCAGTTATTATACACTTACTGACAGGTACAACAATAAACCTAAAGGCTATCATTCCATTTATCCTTTTACAGGTAAATAAATTGAAGGTGGGAGTCTATAAATTTCCCAAGGTTATACAGCCTGTAAGCAGTGGTCTATGCAAATTAGAACAGTCAATGCAAATAAAGGCAGTCAAACCCGAGAGCCTAAGCTCTTA